TATGGCCATACTTTCAAATCCAGGACTGTCCTCTGCCAGCACTCCAAAACAGAGGACTCCCCTTTGTAAAGTCTGGCACCTGGCCACTTGTGGACTCAAACACTACCCAGGGGTAAAGACAGTGTTCGCCGGTCCTCTGCAAGGCGGAGGAAATCCATGCGAGGCCCCTTCTTAAGTACTGCCACCACCCATAGTAACAGAACACCCAAAGCAGCATTTGGAAAGAGCAACTCCATTGCTGTGAGGCAGAGTCCAGCCTGCCATCCCATTCCCTGGGTTGGGTCCAGGAGCTGCCCTCCTTGAACAGAAGGACCCTAGTCACTGAAGGTGCTACCACCCGATACCTGGAGATCCCACCTCTCCCTCACCCACCTAGCAGAATTTCACCAACCCCACTGTGTAGCATTTTGGGGTACCAGGAGGGGTTGCTGCCGGGAGCAGTGGGGTGAGGAAGCTCAAAATATTGGGTTGAGTAACTTCTGAAGGCTTACCATTTCAAGGCCAGCTTCTTTGCAGGAAAGTTGCCCCATCTGGATCCTTAAAAGTCATCACTCCATTTCAGGTTGAAAATACCTCCAAGCCACACAATTCCTAAGCGTCTGCCAGCCTCAGCCCTTCATATCATCTTACAAGTCAAACCTGCTCAATGTTTCTGTGATGACGTTCTTCCAACATCAGCTCCTCCCTTTCTCCTGCTCTATCTCTTCAGGTGCAGAAAGGCACAATGATACTATATGTGTAAGAACTCCAGCAAGAGATCATTTATTTGCCACCCAAACCATGCAAGTGACAAATAAACTGGCCTTAGGTGCATGGGGCGTGTGTGCCAGCAAGCGTGCCACCACCTTGAACAAACACTGTGCACATAAACTGAAAGCCAAGGTAGAGAAAAACAAACTCCAAGAACAACGGTGCTCAGCTTCCTGCTCCTCTGGTGATCATCTAGTCCTTTCACCAGAAAAGTTATCCTTCCAGCATAGTTAATATTTACTACCAACAAAACATTAGGGTTTAATTTGTTTTTCTCAAAATACTACCAGGAAATGAAGAAGCCCATATGGAAAGATATGCTGAGCCAAGGGACGGGCTCATCACATCATCAGCTGCAAAAACTGCTTGGTTTTACTTCGTCTTTACATCTCTGTTGTAGCCATTGCTAGAAGCGACAGAGTTTTAGCCTGCAACAGCAAAAACAACCAAGAGTCTTGAGCAATCTTAAGGACTGCACTTCACTTCACCAGGTGCATGAGGGGGTAATCTTGAGTTAAAATGGATACATGCACACGCATGCATACACATGCAAACAGGACAACACTTAATGCATAATAATATTCCACAAAAGGCTTTTTTTGGGGGGGTACTTTTTATTTTTCACATAATAAAGGGGAAGAAGCCAACTCATCTCAAATGGTCAAAGGTAGGGTTGAGATGAACCCTGTCAGGATCCATCCCTCCAGATTCCATGGACTTCCTCTTGTACTTGTCCGGGTCCTACACAGCAGGCAGTGCCAAGAGGTCCATGGATGCTCACAGAGCCCCAGTTGCACAAATGGCAGCTTTCCTTGCCAGGAGTGGCTGAGGGATGTGACAGAGGCGAGCTGTGAGCAGGTGCACTCGCTGCCATTCCCAGTGACCAGCTGTCTTCCCCACCTGCTGTTCCTGGTGGTGGTGGTGGCGGCGGCACACATGGAAAAGGGGAGCAGCACGTGGGCGTGCCGGCTGCCATTCCCAGCAGCCAGGCTTCTTTGCCTTGCCGAGTGCCTAAGGTTCCATTCCTGGTGGGAACGCTGGGCAGGGACTTGGACTCGGGGCCACCACAGTGCAGACCAGTATCCAGGAAACTACAGTCAAGGCATCCAGCAGATTTTCTGCATAAAATGGATTCCTCATACATCCCTCGTCAAGAGTAATATAAAGTTTCAGGTCACTTCTCTCAGAAAGGACCCACAGCAGAATGGCAGAAGCACATGCAGTGTGTGTATAAAAACTCCAACTAAGACCTGATGGACAAATGACTGACTGAGCATCTTCCCCTGGCAGCTGGTGTCAAAAAAAATCCCATTGGCTGCTTCAGGAAGCCTCATGGGGCAAAGGAAGGGGAGGAGACCTGCGCTGACAAGCCAACCTGTCAGTGCCTCAGCATCCTCCATCCACACCAAAGCACAACTGTTTGGTCGGCAACACCTTGCATGTGGAAGGAGCACAGAGGTGTCTGCAACCCAACCTTGAATGCCTGTAATCTTCCAAGCTGGATTATACTTTGACAGCAGTCACCCTGGGCTGGACTATATTTATTGCTATTACTCTTTTACTGCTACTTCATAGCTACTGATTCTTTCCTGTTGCTGATTGATGTTGGTTTAAAGGAGGTTTTTTGGTGATGTCAAATGTCAGATATGATTTTATTGATGAAAGAGTGGAGAGTGTGGCCCTGTTGATTCTCCTGGATCTCTCAGTAGCTTTCCATACCATTGACCATGGTACCCACCTGGATAGGTTGGCAGAACTGGGAGTTGAGGCACTGCTTTGTGGTGGTTCTGCTCCTGCTTGTCTGGCCAACTCCAGGTGGTGCTGGGGGAATTATGGCTCTGTGCAATGGCAGGTATGCCATGGAGGGCTCTATTTTATCCCCCATGTTCTTTAACATCTAGATGATACCTCTGGGAAAGGTCATCCAAAGGTATGGGCTGAGGTGTCAGCAGTGTGCAGATGACACTAAGCTCTAGCTCTTTTTCAGCAAATCCAGGTGAGGGAGCAGCTGTTTTGAATCAGTGCCTGGACCTGGTAATGGACTGGATGAGGGCCAATAAACTGAGACTCAATCCAGACAAGATGGAGGTGCTGTTGGGAGGTGGTTCATCTGGCCAGTTCAACCTGTCCTGGATGGTGTTGCACTCCTCCTAAAGGACAGGGTTTGTAGTTTGGGGATGCTCCTGGTCCTGAATTGTTGCTGGAGTCACAGGTGGACTCAGCGACATGGAGCATTATCAGCTTAGGCTGATTTACCAGCTCCAACCCTATCTGGACAGGCAGAACCTGGCAACAGAGATCCACACTCTGCCACCTCACATCTGGACTGTAGTAATGTCTCAGTCTGGGGCTACCCTTGAAAATGGTCCAGTGACTTCAGTTGGTTCAAAATCGAGCAGAACGGTTGCCAACGGGGACTGGCCAACAAAAACATATCATGCCAGTCCTCTATCAATTACATTGGTTACCAATTGAAGTCTGGGCCCAGTTCAGAGTGCTGACATCAACATTTAAAGGCCTAAATGGTTTGGGGCCAGGTTATCTGAAGGAACACCTTCTTCCATACCCTGAGATCATCAGTGGAGGTCCTTCTCAGAGAGCCCCCAAAGGCAGCAAGGAGGGTGGCTACCAGAGACAGGGCCTTCTTGGTTGTGACATCCCATTTGTGGATTCAGCGCCCCAAAGTTCTCTCTCTCTCTCTTCCTTCCGGTGCCACCAGGTAAACTCTTTTTTATTTTCCCAGTATTTTAAATAGTTAGATTTTTATTTTCATTTTACTTTATTTTATTACTGTACCTCTAGGTTGATTTAGCTACTGTACCCCTAGGTTGATTTAGCTGCAGTAGATCATTGCTGTATTGTATTATGTAGTTACACTAATTGCATTATTGTGATTTTATAATAACTGTTTTATATTATTGTTTTTTTGTGAACTACCCAGGGAGCCTTTGGGCTGATGGGTGGTGTAGAAATATAACAAACAAACAAACAAACAAACAAACAAACAGCACTCTTGAGTTTTAATAGCGAAGAAATTTGCCAAATGCATCACTGCGGCACTCGGAGAGGTTCTTTGTCTGGAATCCCTGCCTTGTGTTAGAGGCAGAGGATGCCTCGCTCATAATAAATCTACCAATCTTTTCCCAGGCCCAGATGTATTACCTGCACCTTTGGTGATTGAGGTTTTCCTTCAAGGCAGCGCTGCCTCTCCGGTGTTTTCCTGCTCGGCTCCAAGAGGGGCTGGTACCCAAGGGCAGTTTTTGCCCCCCAGCGTTAAGCCAGGCAGATTTAGCGTTAAGCCAGGCAGAGCTGCTTCCTGGGAGTGCAACATAAATAAAAGCTGATTCTAGCGGGAGGTGAAGCGAGCCCCTTCATCCCAAGCAAGGAGTTCTGAGGTGATAAACACCGGCACTGCCAGCTCGTCTTGACAGCATGTGTGCTCTGTTAATCACTGGCTCTCTGGGGAAATGGCAGGTATATTCCCCTCCAGGTGTTGTGATTCATTGTCTGGAACTGATATCTCTGCTTAAATGGGGGATTAACATGATTTAAGAAATATTCATTGCAAAGTTGATTAGAAAGCCCCTTCAGCAGCCTGGTAGGGGATTTAGTTAGTGCAGCATGACACCGTTTTGTGATTGTCAGCTTTTCCATAGATGCCTCATGTACTGACATGTCCATTTATATCCGTGTTTTGAAATACTGGGCTCTATCTCTCTGGTGTCCTTCCACTGATGGAAAGCTGGTTAAATCAGGGGAAATGTCCCGGAGAATAGCAGAGATGAAGGCAATTTTTGGTGATTCTTCCCACCATGGCAGCTGCCTCTGCCCATCTCAAATCTGGTCTGGCACACTGCAGAGCACGTCCAAACAACATGAGAGGCGGAAGGAGGGGAAAAGGGTGGAAACATATAGATAAAAACATGTCACTGACTGGGCAAAAGTGAGGCACCGCTGGGCGAAAGAACCCTCTGCCAGCAGAGGGATACCAGCCGGGCATAACCTACACGCATCTTAGCCTGCTTTGTGATTTGGAACCACAGTGGTTCTTTGGGAGGACCAAAGCAGTGCCTGAACCTGAGGTTGGTGACTAGAGACAAAATGTTCTCAGTCATGGCACCGTGGATCTGGATTCACTCCCCTGAGAAACTCATTCGGCATCAACTTTTACGTTGCTTAAAAAGACCTCCTTGTCTTCCTGATGCCAGGTGAAGACTGCTTTTCAATTTGTTAAGGCACACATTTATCACTGGTTTGAGTAAGGTTTTATTGCATAGCATACACATTGTGATCCTGGTTTTAACATTTTATTGTATCTGCTAATACTTTCACTGGATACAAGCCAGGAGTCTCTCAACAAAGGGTAAACAAAGATGCTACTCATCTGCATCTACTTCCTGCCAATGTGTAACACCCGGTAGGATCTGTACTGTGACTTCTTTCACAAAACAAATTCCAGCGCTTCCAATTCTGTGTTGCGAGAGGATCCAGCTTGCCATTTTAAAGGAAGCCTCATTGTTGGATACACTCTTCAAGACCTTGTTTTGGTTCTGTTTGAAAAGTAACAAGGGTTAGGGTTCCCTCTTGATTGCAAAGCATAGTTGATCATGTCTACCAAAGACTCTGAAACCAAAAGTTACACTGGCCTTTTAGCACTGGTTAGGGACTGGGAAACTGAAATTGGAGCACTTTTGCCTATTTCATGCATCCATACCTTTGGAGTACAAACCTTTCTCACATCCTCCCTGGTGTGCTTACCTATGCATGCCATGCCAAGACATTCCAAACATGGTACACCTTCCCAAGCAAGAATTACATTATATTAGCACCCCAGTGTTACCTAACTTGCATGTGGTGCCAGTGATATTTTGAGAACTGAACCCAGAGTAAAGGCAGCCCCCACCCAGAGGCTTTCCATTTTCAGTATATGGACAAGTTGAGGTCATGGGGGATTTCAAACACTATTGAGGTAGTGAACTAGCTGAAGGAGCAAACAAAGCAGAAAAGCATATCTGCTGAAAGATGTGGTGTTGTTAGAATAGGGTAGCTCAGTCAATGATGTCCTTTGAACTGAGATCCAGTGTGGCATAGTGGCTATAACTAATCTTGGTTCTGCTCCCCACTCAGCCATGTAGCCAACTGGATGACGTGGGCCAGTCACAGACTCTCAACCTACTTCACAGGGTTGTTGTGGGGATAAGATTGAGAGCAGGAGGAAGAGAATGATGTAAACTGTTTGGAGTTCATTGTGAGAAACAAGTGGGATATAAATCTAATAAATAAATGAATGTTTTGCTGAAGTGCTGGGAGCTGCTGAAGAGTGTCTTTTCAATGCAAAACCATTGGTACCTTCTAAAGAAAGTGAAAATATGTTCCAGGCAGAATGAAAGGAGGAGATCTGAAAACAGCATGGGACAGAAACCAAAAGAATGAGAAAAAATGAGTGAGTTGGACTTGCTTACATGCTGCATTCTTTACTCTGAGAACAGAATCTGAATTTCTTAAATATAACTCACACCCGACAATTAACGTCAGGAACCTCTGGGCTACAGCATGACAGCTGTTTAACAGTGTATCAGGAAGCACACAACACATTTGAGCAGCCAGTAATGGATGCCTTTGGAACTGCACAAGCAATCTGGTGTGTGAAACGAAGCCCTTGGAGGATTGGCCATGTCATCTGTTTCTAAACCCCACTTGATTCCCACTGAATCATCAAACTATTCTTAGCAGCTGAAGGTTGGAAGCATGTGCCTCCCTCTGACTTAGACATTCCTTTTGCTATATGCTAAATATTACCACCAAACTTTTTGGTGAGGAGAGAGATAGTACAACACTCTTGCCACTTCATATTATGTAAGTTTCCATCTTACATCCTTCCAGATAAAACTGACAACTGTTGGTGCAAGAAGCTGCAACTTCGTTCTGGGCTGCTAACTTGAGACAGATGTGTACCATCACTTGTCTTCATGGATGATGGATAACTCATCCTGCAAACAGTTATGCATTTTTGACTGTTTAAATACAGATCATGACATTATTATCCAATTCCCCCTGGTTTTTTGGTCAAAATTACCCATCTTTTCCAAAATCAGTGATTCACCATAGAAGAGCATGCTTTATTGCGATGATTGGAATTAGGGATGTGTAGAAGATCTGTCCCTTGAGGGTGTGCAGGCTTTCTCTCATGTTTGCCACTATCTTGGAAAGTGAGCCAAGCTGAGAGGAAACCAAACTGTGCAACTGGCCACCTTCTCTGTACCATGCGCAGCAGCAGATGGGCAGCATTTTGCTCAGGGGACTTGTGGCGAATTGGAGGAATGCTGCTACCACCATGCATGCGCACCAGAGAGGGCCCCAGGGGTATGCAATGTGCCAAGAGTTCACTCGAGCCTCAGAAGGCCCAGAAGCCTCCTCACGCACAGTGGATGTGATCCATTGTCTTTCTTCATGAATAAGGGCTCTGTCCTGACATTCAGCTGCTTCCAGAGCTACAATTCTGCACAAGGTTTAATTGAATCTCTCAATGACTTTGCTACAAAAATGAAGCAGAATTACCCAGTGATTACCCAGTAAAAGCAGGCATATCTGGAATAACAATTCATGAATGGCACGTACAAGAAGAGGGCCATTCTGAGAGCAGGTTGTTCCACCTCTTATTTCTATATACTCCATAAGCAAATATTTTGGGGGTATAAGAATTCATAGTGCCTTCCACTTCTAATTCACAAAATACTATCCCACTGTTGCCATTTAGGACATTGTTCTTCAGCCCTGGGGCCCAGGTGCTACAAATTCCATCATCTCCTAGCCAGTATGGCTAATAGGAAGAATAGGATCTGTAGTACCATGGCCTCTGGAGACCCACAGTTTCCCCATCTTCTCTGATTTAGGAAAACCAGTGACTCTTCCACTGCAATTTCTGTATTTTTAACAGTATTCGGAATTCTTCAGGAAGAATTAAATTACAGTTTTCCTATTTTTGCTTTAGTGCGGTGGTGGAAAGGCACCCCATTGCACTGAGTAAAGCAAGAGGATCCTACATGCAACTAATCCTGCCATGAACACAGAAGTGTTAATGCTCTCATCCGGAACCATCCACATAGAGTACTGCAGGAATCCCCCCACCCCCACCCCCGGATCTTCTGGCAATAAATTGAATCCCACCACACTTGGCTTACACACAACTTCCAAAATGAGGAGACTCTCTCTCAAGAACCTGCCGTTCCTGCACAGCTGAGTTCTCAGGTCCTAGTGCAAATACAGCTAAGAAGCAAGTTACACAACAGGCCCGTCAGTACCATTTCCTTACCTTCTCAGCACATACATGACAGAATCTCTGCTTTTGGTAAATACACAGTTTGCTTTCCATTAACGTGAAGGTTCAGCAGAGTTTAAGGCAGGGGTCTCAAACTCAACTTACCTGGGGGCTGCTGGAAGTAGAGTCTGGGTGAGGCTGGGCCGCATCAAGTATTCCACCACCGCGGTGGTGGTGGGCCGCTCATCCCGCATCGCTCCTGGAGGCCGGCCCAGGCGCTGCCGGCGCTTTGAAGGCCGCAGGACCCCTCCCCGTGCCCCGCCTGTCCCGGCGCGCAGCTTAGAGGGAACATTGCGCCCAGGGTAACAACTCACACAGGTGCGTGTGAGAAAAACGCATGGGCCGCACTATCACTAAACTTTGATATCAAGTGGGGGCCACAAAATATCTTCCCACGGGCCACAATTGGCCCGTGGACTGCGAGTTTGAGACCCCTGGTTTAAGGCAACCACAGCACACAAAAGCATCTCATCAAATGCCGGCAAGAATACCTTCAATTGTTTTCTCAGCTTCGCTTCATGTCCACTCATTTAGTGTGCAGGAATTGCCACCAGATTCTTAAGCATGAATGCTTTACGGAAGAACATTTGATCCAAAGGGAATTATCTGGAGAAAAAGCATGACTCTGAGACCATGCTGCGAAAGCAGCTAATTCCCCAGTGGTGACGGTCCATCCCTCCATGCTACTTGCTAGTGGGATGAAAGGGCTCAAGTCACCCAGGCACTGAAGCCAGACTGCAGATGTGCCCCTGAAGTATTTATCTGACAATGGCCTGTTTGATCCCTTTTCTCTATGGGTTTTGAAGATTGCATGCTTAGGGTTAGTTCATGCTTAGTTCATGAACTAGTTAGTTGACTGGAAGTAACCCAGCTCACACCTTCTGGACCCAGAAACAATCTGCAGCTGAAAACTGTATGTTTCTCAGCTTGCAGTGCAATTTGCAGAACAAGAAATATGCATTAAAATCCATCCAGGATGTCACCACAGTTCAAATAGGAGTGGTATCAAAGCAAAAAGTGCCAAGAATGAAGGAGGTCAATATTGTGCCGGGCAAACCCTGTTCTTTCAGTATTTGAAAGTGCTGGGCTGAAAATATACTTCTCATGGATGTTTGCTTGTTCATTTGGTTATCATTGTCATGAAATCTGGTAGAAGAGATATTGCTTTTGAAAAGAAATTCACAGGAAAAGAGAATTGGGATGGCATTCTCATGGGTTGGGTTCAGTGATCCTACCCTCCCGAAGAGGCAGACGAGGAGCATGTGCAAAAGCTGCTGGCTTTTAGCGTACACTCCTCCCAGCTTCCTGCACCATTACTGAGTCCCAGGGAAAGACGAGAAGTGTTCACAGGGGTTCCTCAAATGAAAATGGTCAGGCAGCCTGGGAGGCCAGAAAGGGACAGGGGCTGTTGAAAGGAAAGAAGCACTCCCTGCCACAGTTTCTCCCCTCTCTGTGTGGTGGCCTCTTCCCTGCAGCACCCCATGCATTTGAAAAAATACGAGATAAGGGGCATAGTCAGGAACACAACATACTGTCTGGGCTGCCAAGAGATTTGCTGAAGTTGCCACTACAAGTGGCACAAAAACCAAAGAGACCAAAGGGAAAGAAGCCAGCTACAGCCCCTGCTAACAGTAAACCCCAAACTGCAAGAGCATGGCTCCTTCCCTGGAGAAATTGTCTCCTCCTCCTCCCGCAGCTCCTCCAGGCATGAGAAGTAATGAGAAGGTTAGGAGGAAACAAGGAAGTCTGTTCTTGGACAGAAAGCCCAAGCTGTCAAAAGAAAATGCCCCTACTTAAAGGATCAGATGGTATCCAGGTACACTGTATTAACAAGGGGTCTCTTTAAGAACACGGCATGAAGCAATCAGGAAACCACTCTAGCCAAACAATTTTGTGGTTCACCTGGAATGGCGTGACAATGTTATGATTAGTTCTGAGGGGAGTGACAAATCTTTTACACAATGCAGCATAAAGAAGGAATTGGGGTGAGAAAAATGGTTAAAGAGGGAAGCTGCTTTGCCCTTTGTTCGTCTGCCTCTCTCCCATTGCAGTTTCTCCCGAGATGCCTCCTCTCCTCTCTTGAGCCCTGCAAATGAAAAGGGTGGGAAGGAAGGGAAAGAGGCTGCAGTGGGCAGACCTTTGGTAGGGAAAGGCTGGCTACTGGTCCCGTTTTATAGAAGACAGTCCTTTCCCTGGAGGTCATTTCTAGCCCAGTGCTGGTTTAACAATAAA